GCGATTCCGGCTCTTCGTAAAGTTCAGCAAGCGTTAAAGACATCATTAACTGCGCCCTCGTCAACTATCGCGCGTTATTGTTCACCACAAAATTTTCTCCGATTCTTGTTGGTTTAAATTGATCACGGGACGCGATAGTGTTCATCCGCGGAGAGACACTAGGGAGCTTAAGAAACCACGACGGCGACGTCGAGGACAACATCGATTAAAAAATTCCTTCATACTTTTACCTACGAATCTCGTGGTTCTCTAAAGTCATTTACTTTGTTTATCACTGTCAAAGCTATCACGAAACTGAATCAGCGACACATCAATTAATTTGAAATAACAGTTTAAAAAATTAGCCATCGTGGTTCACGTCCTCCAGATAACGCAGAATTCGGTCATTTCACGTTGTTGTTTTACAGAGGACGGCAAAGAAATGTACCAAGAATTATAACGCACGTGCTCAGCCATTGTTCCGCTCATTAGACCTTTTGTTTAGCGACGTTGCCGTTGCCGTCGCCGTCGTGGTTTTCTTAAGCTCCCTACAATCAGGCCACGGTGCCCGTCCGAGGAAAATACCCGGATGGATAGTACTAGAAAATAAACAATTGAATTTGTGTTAAGAGGGTTTTAGTTTATTTGTTTTTGTTTTGTTTTGTTTTGTTTTTTAATTTTACATCCACCTTTCACAGCTTTCATCTGAAAAAGTTGAAAATAATTCAGTATGATTTTTGAACTGGCGCACGGAAGAAAATTTATTGATGAACTATAAAGACAGTAGAGTGTTTATGTCTCGGAACTATCGGTGTGATAGTTGCCCCTTAGAAATTTGATGTTCTTAAAACTAGATAAAACAAATATTTGTTTTAAGAACATCAAATTTCCGCGGGGCAACTATCAGTAAGTAAGTAAGTAAGTAAGTAAGTAAGTAAGTAAGTAAGTAAGTAAGTAAGTAAGTAAGTAAGTAAGTAAGTAAGTAAGTAAGTAAGTANATCACAATGATTTATAACATAATCAGCCGATAGCTCCTCGGTAGAAACACTCTATTCTTTAAATAAAAATCTCGAGGTCATAATCTAATTGTCTATTAGACCATGCTCAACTAACATGGTAAGTGTACGCATGATTTTTTGAGGCGTTTTTATTGTTAGTTTGTTTAGTTTTGATTAATTGAGTAGTATTAATTCAGTTTACACGTATTGATTAATTTATTAGTAACTATTTTAGGTATACACTCTGATTTTAGATTGGCTTAGGGACGGCTCTTATGTAAACTATTGGGTCATCAGTAATCAATTTTGCCCTCGTAAAATAACGTGTTATTAAACAAGTCCATCGTCATCATCATCATCATCGTCGTCGTCGTTATCATTATCATTATCATTATCGTTATCGTTATCATTTTCATTTTCATTTTCATTTTCATTTTCATTGTCACTATCACTATCACTCACTATCGCTATTACTATGCTTATGATTATCATTGTCATTGTCATTGTCATATTTTGTGGGCGTTTTTAATAAAAGTTATTCCACTCGCGCTTGTTGAATATGAGATGATTATAGCCAGCTCGGCGCTACGCACCTCGATGCTTATCCACCATCTTATATCGGGCGTAGGTCTGTTTAGTTCGACAGGCCGTATGGTTCGACTGCAGCTTTATGGTTTGGAATGGAGAAACCGCCGAGAATCTGACAAACATGTTTAGAATTTAAAAAAAAATGTATATTTTTTAAATTAACGGTCTGCAACTTTTCAAAAGGCGCTAGATATGGGAAGATGGTAGGTAAGATCTTCTACACACTGATGCCAGCTTGTTGTAGATACGTTAAAGCAAAACTCCTGGATAGTATAAGCCAAGATGTATTAGCTTGCAGTTTGCCTGCAAGCCATAGAGCTTGCTCGCAAGCTTAATTATTGAAAGCTAATGAATCTTAACGTTTTTTTAAGGGAATTAAATGAAGATCAAATAGCTAAACGGTTCAAATCAGAGGTACATTATTTAGCACTCTTGCAGTAATTAACTTGAAATAGAAAATAACTTGTAAAAAGACGGCAGGTGTGTGGTTTTCCTTATCTCCTTTCAACTCTTATGACATGGTTGGCATTGCTTATCTTCAACTCCGCAGACGAGAATCCATTTTGCTTTCTTTTTCGGTTCAGGGTGAATTCGCTTGGTTTTCGGATCAAATGCGACTTTCAGGGGCAGATATTTTGCTCCCACAATGCCACTCCTAAAACAAGATAAACAAAATAGAGCAACTTCAAAAGTGAGAAGAAATGTTCTTTGGTTGTTTTGGATAGACCCGCGCGGCTAAAGATATTTCAGGCTTCAGCAACAAACAGATTTAAGAATTCCAATAAACTTTTACCCTGTTCATTGAGTATTCTGAAAATAGTGGATTGAAAAGAATATTGTAGCTGAGCTGAGCTGTAAGGTACAGACCATTCATTCAACACTTTTTCACAACTTTCCAAAAAAATCAAACTTTGGTAAAAGTAGTATGATAAATATACTTATTGACTAAGTGAGAGAACCGGACAGGAAAATATGGCACTCGCTCTGGAAAATTTCGCTGTACTCAGTCCGTACCTCCTGACTTCGAGCTAGATATTTTCCCGTCCGGCCCTCTCACTCAGTCAATAAGTTCATATTATATCCACCTTGAGATGGTAACTTTCAGCATACGGGACGCTTTTAAATTCTCAGGGCTTTCAAGTACAAAGTGTTCGTAGGATTCTATCAAGAGTTTATCAGGTTTGTTACCCAAACGTCCATAAACTTCCTGGAAAAAAGGAACAGCAATAACAGTAACTAAGGGATCGATAGAACATTGAAGAGCATCTGCGGCAAAGTAAAGGCAAAATCTTTAACATCAGAAGTACAAGCCAAAATAAGTGTCATTTCTTAAACATTTGGAACAGAGTTCAATCATATATAAGAAAGTCTAATAATCAAGAGTCACATGAGGGGGGATACCGGGGGATACTCCCTTATATGGGCTATGGAGGTAGTTGCAGTCCCAAGTTATATGGTTTTTTAGCCGTTTTGGTCAGAAAAAGGGAATCGATTTTTGCCATTTTGGTCTTAACTAGGGGATGGTTTTTGCATTCTACTCTTGAATTGAGTATGTTTTTTTTTAACAGAAGCTACTTGTTTTTTTCATCATTATCGATAAGACCATCAACAACAGCCCGTCACAATGCCATTAGCATCGATCTGAACTAGGGAACTAATTATGAGGCATGTCTGAACCAGAGTATTGATTTAAGGGTCAGGTCTTACATAGGGCATCGAATTTTTGGTCAGGTCATAAATAGGGTAGGGAAAGTCACAGATTTTTGTGCTAAATAGGGTAAGGGTTTTGGGAGGCAGGCCTCACACCCCTCCCAATTTTTCTAGGAGTACTCCCCCCGGGGATTTAAGTTTGTTCTAATCCTAAGGTTGGGAGGAGATTGACAATATCTTCTACGTAAAGGAAAACTTTTGCCTGTTCGCAATGTTCTGAACCTTTGCCTACGATTGGCAATCATGCGTGCTGGTTGCCATATTTGTTTGTTACTTCATCGTGCTGGCTGCCATATAGACAACTTAACGCGACAACGACATGATAGAGTCCTAAACGAAAGCCGAGAATTACAACCGTGAACAGCTGATTCGACCTGGTTTGGTCTCGTCAGCACGGTGTAACAGCAAAAAGTAAGGCAACCAGCTTGGGGACCAATTGTCTACTAAACGCACATGGTAATGACCTCAGATGAAACTCAAATCCAAATGTTTGCGGATCGGTCAATATCACATGCAAAACGCGTGACCATGAACAATAGACAAAAATACCCAGAATAGCATGTCGTTGTCGCGATAAGGAAATTACGGACAGACTAAAACTGTCCCGCAGAAAATACATGGCCGAACCATGTTAAAAGTGAACAGCATATCGGATCAGCGTTCAGTGTGTTAAGTAACTATATTTGACACATCACTTGGAAGGGACTTTGTCACCGGCACTCATTCTGTCTGTTCGTCGATGTGAGGAAAGGGATATTTCCCTTCCGGCCAATTCGTAACTTTGCCATGATTTTCTTGGCTATAAAATCCTCCATAGGAAAAACGATGGGGACTGTTCATTTTACCACAATACCATGCGGAGCCTACGCAGCCCATAAAGTACAAGGAAAGTAATATTTTTGCAATATTTGCCCTCCTAGTTGTGCAAACGACATTTTGCATGCTAGGTTTGAAGATTTCAGAACGTTTCTGTATGTTTTAGTGAGCGTTGTTAAAGCTTTTGTGCGCTTAGAATTATGGGTAAATGTACCAGTCGCCATCTTTTTTCTTAAAGTAGGATTGAAGATTTTTTTTCAGAATGTTCCTTTTGTATGGGAATTGATAACTAAACGAACACCTTACCGGATTGCCGCCACCGATAGGACGGTTTGGGTAAAACAAGAAATTCCCCAGACTGTGTGCTATCACCTTGTTGTCTTCAGTAACACAGTGTGGTTGTAGCACGTGAGGATGTGATCCAATGATGACGTGTGCACCAAGTGACATCAGGTGTTTGTTAATACGATGCTGGTAGGGACGCGGGCCTAAGCAGCGTTCTTGACCATAGTGTATAAAGACGACTATGATGTCTACCTTAGCCTTTAGGAGTTGACAAAAAAGATTGACGTTAATTTTTTGCGCCCTTGGTAAGGTTAACGAGCTAAACTTTTTGTTAATGAAAACGTTTTGTACTTTTACTATGGTGGTTTGAACCTAAGAGCCTTAAAATGTTCTTAAGGTAATGCATTTCAAATCAGTTATCGTAACCAGAGATGCCCGGGAAACCTTGCAGGTTTTACCACGTTGCAACCACGTGCTTGCATACCTCAGAACGAAAACTTTGTAAGTCAATCTCAGCTTGGGTACGTTCTTAGCACCTTTGCCAATGTAAGCTTCTGTGTATTTTTTGATAGGCTAACATAAAGAAAGAAAGAAAGAAAGAAAGAGAATGGTTCCTAGATTGTTCACCCTTTGAACATAGGTTATGTTTGCACTTGGTACCTTCTTGGTGCGATTCTCGCGGAGCACCTAGTGTGAACACATCTTTTCTCACACCAGAATCCGAGCACAGTGTCCATGCCCGGGTACAAGGTCTCCACCTTGTACCCGGGCGCTAAGTGGTAATTGTAAGTATGTCCTTAGAATACCCAGTGTCTAAAAACATAACTGTTTTGTGTGGATGCCCAGCTACCAGCGCTAGAGCACCAAGTGTGAACACAACCATAGTCTTCTAAGGGTCTGTGTGGGACAATGAGAAGATATAGTTCACCCAACTATGACCTGAAAAGTAACACGTAAACAGAGTTGCGTGTTCTCAACTGACGTCATCTCATCCAGTGAGATTTCAAAGCCAAATCAACTTTCACTGGACCTTAACTCTGTTGTTGACATAAGCGGTATTTTTGCCAACTTCAAGAACTTTGAAAGTTAATTTTCACTTTTAAGCAAGGGCAAGTGAGCGCTGCGTAACTTTTGATCACGAATTCTAAGATGTACGGCATTGTGCCGCCAAACTTATGAAACTTAGCGCACGAGGAATTCAATAAGAAAGAAACAACAAAACAAAATGTCGTTTAGAATATATTTCAAATCAACTCAAACTTAAGTGAATTACAACGATTGCAAGCACTTTTATATCTCTGGATTCAAGCATTGCGGTATTTTAAAAGTATTCAACTGCGCACTCGGCGTCATAATCTCCCATTAAACATTGCAAAAGTAAACATAGCGGCGCCCAGAAAATTAGAAATCCTAAAATAGCAGAAGCGAAACGCCCACCATTCGTAACAGGTAAAGAATTATCTACTTCAAATCGCTGAAATAATCTAAGTCAAACACCAAATTATGATATGAAACAAAACTGCTTTTCTTTTAGCCAGGATTCCCTTTAAAGATTTAAAACTGCAGTAACACCTGTTTTAGCTTGTTGAAGTCTCTTGTGGCGATGTCATCTCGGTAAAGAGCAGGACCAGAATTGAACAACATTCTCATTTCGGTACAGTTTTTGTCTATGGCCGCGGTTATGGAATCACAGTAACCAAGAAACCCTATCTTTATTCCGCGTCGTTCCAGTATCAAAGGTTCCTGTAATACGAGAAAGAATGAGAGAGTTAGAAAACTTGTAAATTAGAAGGAAGACTGAACTATCATAACAAACAGAAATTAGTCCTTTTGCTTACAGCCCGTTTGCTGGTGGGTCAGTTATGACAAACGGCAGCCCGCGAAACTTATTCAGGGCTTTTACTTAGCAAGGCACATCACCTTGGAGCACGTTAGGGGAAAAATTTATTACACCTCAGGTTGGCGGTCTGTAACGTACCGACCATTGTGGCTAATTGTCTAGCAATAGACCTGCCTCGCTCCTGAGCTCTCTCCTCCTTCACATAGCCTCGAAGATACCCAGTTTATTATTGTACCTGAGAAGAGTCATATTTGCCATAAGTGACGCCAAAATATTTCACTCTCGTCTTTTTAAGAACGTCAACAGTAAAGTTGACTCCTTCTGAACCAAAGTCGTTCAAGTGATTATTGGCTAGTGTCATAACATCAAATCCTGCAAAACTGAGAAGAAGCAAAGAATCATGTGTTTGAGTTACACTTATGTGTTTTTCCATATTCTGACTGTTCCATGTAAACTAAACTCAGTGAAAGGTCAGCGCGTCGGACTCGCAATTCAGCAGTCACGGGTTCGAGTTCCGCTCTAACCACTACCTTGATTTGATTCACAGTAGCCCCGAGTTCAAATCCAGCGGCCACGCTTGTAAATAGCCAACTGGTTTGCCTCCGGCCAGTTGGGATTCTTAACAATGTTAAGTTCGACTTGGATTATTTGCTTCAGTTGTTTGAATTGCTCGGCCCCACTAGCCTTAAAAAGTTTCCAGCATTTTGATGGGTCGTTGTAACTACTCTTTATCACTTGATGCTACAATCATGATATCAAAAGACTGCCCAATCATTGATGAACACGTTGTTATCATTTTCATGACACGATAGGTTACCATAGCAAAAGTATGACCTCCTGAAAACACCCTTAATTACAGCTTTAGGGGCTTATAATTCAAAATCGGCACCGTGAAATTTTTTATTATCAACTTTTGATAAGTATGATAAGACGCAACTTTTGGCAAAGTTTAAAAACATTCTGTACATAGGGTTCAGAGCCACCTTAAATTTTCGAAAATTTATGGTGGCTCTGTTGTTAAGGGTGTTTTTAAGAGGTCATACTGTTGCTATGGCAACCTATTGTGTCACGAAAATGATAACAACGCGTTCACCAATGATTGGACAAACTTTTGATACCATGATTGTAGCATCACGTGACAAAGAGTGGTTATAACCACCCATCAAAATCTAAGTGTTTGAAACTGTTTTGAGCCACCTTAAGAGCCTACTGACGCGTAAACAAGCACGGTGACCCCATTTTATTATTGCATTTTTTTAATGTTCATATCATGAATGTTAATTATGCCAAGCTTGAAAAAAAGTTTGATAGTAGAACAAGGGAATTACCTTAAAATCTTTCCCTCTAAATATCTTTTATTATTGTTGTAAAAATGGACCGATTTTGAATCACTTGGACCAAAATTTATAAAATTGCTTTCAGTGGCAGGAGCAGAGGAAGAAGATTCAGGCGCTTCGATGTTACCAGCAGCCGCCATTTTCGAAATTTGTCCCCTCAGCGCTTCTCAGTGGCGGATCCAGACCTTGAGCTAAGGAGGGGGGGGGGGGGGGGGGGGGGGG